GGGGGGAAACGGCTAAAAGGGAGAGACAGCCGCGTCAAACGAATGACGCAGCGCCTCTAACGCCCCGGTAACACCGCATGGGTGTGAAACGCTCCCTCACGCGGGTCGGCGTTAGAGGTATTTCCAGTGCCCTTAATGCCACGTATTTAGCTAGGATAATACTTATATGGTGCACGGTGAGTGCATACCATTTTTATGAAGGACCATGCTACACTTACATAAAAAATTATATCCCATTTGTACACTGCAGTTATGTACAAATATTTTGATGATTTACACCGACACAAGTGTTGGTGCGTTATCAAAAATTTACGTGGACACAAAGTGTTGGTGCGTTAAAAAAATTAGTATTACACAAATACAAAATGTCGATGCAAACCTGCGGTGTACGTACAAATAGGGTACACAAGTTTGCGGTACATATAGCTTTATCCTTTTGTGAATCTTCTCACATATATTTTTTTATTAAAAAATTCAAATGCATATCTAGATAGTAAAAATGCTTATTTTGCTCATATGTAAATCCATGGTAGACAAATTATTTAAAAAAAAGATAAGCTCAATCTTCGAGAACCCTCTCAAACTCGACCAGTAGTATAAACAATTTATTAACTATAAGGCTGATAAGTCTGGTGTTCTTCATCACGTCAGCGTCACGTCAGTTTTTATCTTTTTTATTACTGCACATCACTAAACAGGGGTGTTGGCACGTTTGAGGAGGTCCGTTATTGGTAGATGGAGACCCTCTTCTCACCAGGGATCGAGCACAGCCACTACATCCACAGGCACTCCCTCTATTTCCTTGAGTCTATTCACTAACACACAGGTGTCCCCCTCCACCCCACGTACTATGTCATCTGGCCCTTGTACGTCAGGTTTGCAGCTCTCCTCTTAGAGACTATTTTTGTTGTTGCATTGATGGTGTTGTTGTCCTATCACAACTTGTTTTTGTTGTTGCATTGATGGTGCTGTCAACACTAGGTATATGGTACGTTGTTATTGATCCATGGTAATGTTAGTTGTTAAGTTCGTGTTGGTGTTCTTGTTTTTGTTGTTTTTCTTGCTGTTCTTGACGCTATTATTATTGCGTTGTTGTTGTTGTTGTTGTTGTTGTGTATTATTAACTATCATGTATTTCAGGCTCAATTCTTTGAATTGCGCAAGGAGGCTAGACAGAAAGGGCTTCAAGTCACCGATCAAGAAATATGGTACTCGCTAGTTGAGGGCCATAACGCGAAGAACCGCGTTCCTGGAGTTGGTGACTACAAGTGGGAAATGAGGAAGATGAATCCGTCATCTAAAGCTCGTCGTTCCAGCACGAGTAGCAGAAGCACAACGGAGATGGCAACACTTAAAGAGCAAAACCAAAGGCTGCAGGAACAAATTGATAGTCTAACCTCGAGCTTGTCGCTGACGATTCAGGAGGAGATAAGGAAGCTATATGGTGGTAACCTTCCTCGACGAGGCGATGATGATAGAACGGGAGGGGCAGGGCAGCCCGGGATTTGTTGAGACCTTTACGACCTTAGCTTCCTCCATTTTGAACACTTGACACTAACACTTTAATTTAATATTCATTGTTTGTTAGAATATAATGAATTATGTTACATTCACACGTGAAGTTTTCATTAATCTAGCTTTAATTTGAATTATCAAATTGGGTGTTGAAATCTTGTTTAGAATTATGTGTGTGAAGATTGAATGTGTTTTANNNGTTTTACCCCCCCCCCCCCCCCATTTTAGTAGCTAGTGCCAAAAACAAGAAAATTCTAGTTTTGTCATCAGGTCATCAGGGACGGAAAGGGCCGTTGCTATTTCCGTCGCAGATTTTGTTTGATGAAAAAAAATGAAAATCCTGTTGCAGGTCCGTCAAAGATCTGCCACGGATTGTAAATTCCGTCGTAGATATTAAATCTGCCACAACTTTTCTGCGACAGAAAAATTTCGTTGCAGATCCGTCGCAGAATAGAAATCTTCCACGGAATTTCAAATTCTGCCACAAAATTTCCCGTTGCAGATCATCAATTTTCTTGTAGTGTTCTAGCTTCATTTCTTCTAGAGGTTTCAATTAGTTTCTTAAACATAAAAGTGAAGAAATATCGTGAGAAGAAATATGTATAGATGGAGTTTTGTTTATAAGGACAAATCATATTGTGGGGAGAAATATGCAGAGATATTGATTCATTGTGTGTGTTTAGATTAAAAAAATGAACAGATATTATATTTTATTACTTATGTTCTAATTCATTTGTCTAGTTTGATTTTTTGAGTCAAACTAGACAAAGCTTGAAACTCGATTGTATAAAATTTTAATATACAAATTATATATATTCTCTCCGTCCCTAAATTTTTAATACACTTGTATTCTCGAGGTAAAATATCAAGTTTTTTTCAATTCATTTTATTTATATATTGATATAGAAATAAAAAATAAAATTTACATATAAAAAAACTACATAAAAAATTCTTCGAAATAAGATATGTCAAAAATATTTTATTTTATCAAAAAACTAATGAAAAAGTAGAAATAAACAAAAGTTTCTATGACTGCTGAAAAAACAAGTGTAACAAATATTTTGGGACGGATGGAGTATTAGTTTTAAAATGTTTTGATCAGAATTCAACGGTTGAAAATTGATGTATTTAAGAGTACAAATTAAGTGTATTGCTAAAATTTGATGTGAAATACGTGTTACCATTTAAGTTTTCAACACTTTGGTGACTGTCGGTGGCATTCAGGCGAGGAGGAGGGTCAGCCTTCACCATCCATCATTGCGTCCTTACTAATCCAGCTGCTTTCCCAGTGGAAATAATTTTCTTAAAATTCCTTCTTTGATTTCTACTAGGTATAGTTTTTACTAGGTATGTCATTTGCGGTAGAAAATACTCCTTTCATTTGATGATATTTGTCTAAATTAACCTCTTATAATTAAACTAAATAAACTTTAATTATTAATTCAATCAAAGCTATATACTTCTTTCGTTTTTGAGTATTTATCTACTTTTGATTTTTTCGATCAAAATTAGTAAATTTCAATTTCAAATTAAATAAAAAAATATTAAATATTGATACAAAAATAATTTTATTAGATTTATTATATTAGATATTTTCAAAATATTAGTTTACTTATATTTCTCTGCATATTTCAAAATCAACTTGTGGGGTGCAATTGAAGGGGGTGGGGTAGTGTGTTCGGGTCGGGGCGGGGTGGGGGGGTTTACCGGGGGGTTAGGGGGGAAGGAACCGTCAATTTTACGAACGAGGCACCGGAGCGCCCCCGCGTCATTCCATGACATTAGTTCCCAATGTCATGGGAACAAAGGTGTTACAATTGTCATGCAAACTTGAAATTTTATTTAGTTTTGAAAATACAGATTAATTAGAAATAGAGCAATAGATCTTGTTTGAAAATAGTGTTAAAGATTAGCGTTAACATTTTAAAAAAATTATATATGAATACCGTTTAATATTATTGAAATTTTATTTAAAATATTAATGTTAATTTCTAATGTTATTTTCAAACAAATGTAGCATTTGAACATTGTGGAAGATGAACTCATCCTCACCGTCCATTACTTCCCTGATTGAGATTCTTCATCTAACACCAGCTACACTTTACTGGCAAGAAACGGCAACTGCCGAATAAAAGGAAGAAATTTCCCCTGCCTCAGTTTCATACATTCCAGACCCCTAGATCTCAGATCACTCCCACCATCCTCGCTTTTCAGAGTCGTTTTTTTTATTGTTCTCCTCTCTGGGTTTGTCTCATTTTCAGAGAAGAAACAAATCGCGAGGGAAATGGAGGTTCCGTTGAAATTGGCGGGGTTGATGTTAATCCTCGTGGCCGCGGCGGCGGTGGCGGTGAACGGCGACGGGGAGGTGACGAAAACGCCGCCGACGGTGGTGAGGGTAAAGAATAAAGTCAAGTACTGCTCCAAGTGGGACTGCAGTAGCGATCGTGGCTCCCGGTATTGCTGCAATCTGACAATGTCCGACATCTTCGATGTGTACCAGTTCGAGGAACTCTTCCAGAAGAGGAATGCCCCCGTCGCCCACGCCGTTGGCTTCTGGGATTACCGCTCCTTCGTCCTCGCCGCCTCCACCTACGGCCCCAAAGGGTTCTGCACCACCGGCGGCAAGAAGCAGCAGATGTTGGAGCTCGCCGCCTTCCTCGGCCATGTCGGCAGCCAAACTTCATGTCGGTGAATAACCCTCTCCTTAATTTCTCTCCATTTCATCTACTTTTGTAGTTATTGCTTGCAGTTCTGCGATTATTTTTTGAGAAATTGTGACAGTTTTCCTTTATGAACTTCATGTGGGTGCATATTCTTCTCTTTCTATTACAGAATTTGTGATAAATTGAGGAGAAATTGCACAGCTTTTGTGGGTTAGAAATTAGTTTCATTTGGCAATTTTTTAGCAATAGTCTGAGGCTCTTGTTATGCAGATCTGAGCTATGGTGTTCATCTAGGTTTTCTTTTTTCTTGACATAATAGGTTAGATCTACCAATTTAAGATTGTGGGATGGGTTTTTTTATATTATACAGAGTAAAAGTTACTCCTTCCGTTCCATATTAACTGTTAAATGGATGAATGTGAACATAAAGTATGTCCACATTCATTCCTTCTTCAATGTATCAAGGAAGTGTTAATAGATAGTTAATATGGAATGGGGGGAGTATATCAAAGTTAATATGGACGACAAATTGTCTTGTTGTTTTAATCTGTGTTATGTTGTGAAAGTTTGTATGATATGGTTGAGATGTTTTAAAACCATTCTACGTCACTTGAAGGTGGTTATGGTGTGGCTACTGGAGGGCCATTGGCTTGGGGTCTATGTTATAACAAGGAGATGAGTCCTTCCCAAGACTACTGTGAGGAATCCTTGGTCCACCCCTGTGCCCCTGGAGCCTCATATTATGGTCGTGGCGCCCTACCTGTTTACTGGTAATGTTCGTTAGATGTTCATTTTTCTGTGTTTTATGTATGATCGATTGTGTTTTTCTTTTCATTTGGGTGCCTGCAAAGCAAACAGGAGAGGTAAACCAGTTTAGGTTTCCCATAAGCTGAGACAGCTCAAAAAATGATTAGGATGTCTCCAACAGGATTCAATCATATGACTTTGTGGAGCTTGTGGTTTACAATCTCTCCTTCCAGACCACTTGAGCCGCGGGTTTCCCTTGATCGTTTAGATTACTATACGCCTGCACATTTTGTTTTTCTGTTGATTGGCTCAGTCATCTACGGTTGTTGTGTGCCACCATTTGGTGTTGCACTATCATTCTATCTAGATCTCTGAGTCTTACTCCCTCCTTCCCAAAAAGATCATCACAGTTTGAGTTTTTTTGGTCAAAGTGTGTAACACTTTGACCACAAATTAAATATTATTTTAATATAATTAGATGTTATAGAAATTTGATATATCAAACCCTTTTTTAAAGTGAACCCAATTTTATTAAATTTACATTATAACTAAATATACTTTTTTCACAATTTGTGGTCAAAGTATAACCAAAAAAAATCAAATTGTGATGATCTTTGTGGGATGAAGAGAGTATTCGTTATTACATCATGAGTCAATTCTGAAAGCCACGATGCGCTGTGGCTTTTGTTTGAATTTTAAGAAATCTGAGAATGTTCCCTCTTGTTTTTGGTTAGGAACTACAACTACGGATCTCTAAGCGAGGAACTTAAAGTTGATATCTTGAACCACCCCGAATACCTTGAACAAAATGCCACCCTTGCTTTCCAGGCTGCAATGGCGCGCTGGATGATGCCGCCAATCACAGGACAGACAACAGCCCATAACATCTTCCACGGCATCTGGAAGCCCACCAGGAATGACACTCTGGAAAAGAGAACTCCTGGTTTTGGCTCCACCATGAACATACTCTACGGCGATCAAGTGTGCGGCAAAGGGGACGACGACTCGATGAACAACATCATCTCCCATTACCTGCATTACCTCGACTTACTGGGTGTTGGTCGCGAGGAAGCTGGGCCCCATGAGAATCTGACGTGCGCCGAACAAAAGCCTTTCCGTGCACCCTCTCGCACTTCTTCTTGAGGTATGTGTGTGTGTGTGTGTGATGATTCTGGCTTCCAAGTTTACAGTAAAAGAAACAAGAAACCTGCAGCAATAAGAGGAGCAGTTAAGCTTTCACTTTGCACCTTCCGATTTCGCCCCTGCTCTATGTATTCATGAAGCTCTCTATATATACACTCTGTATTGTGCACTTGGGGATCATATGGTATATTGTATGGATTGATGGTTCTGTACGTGTGTGTTCTGCTGGCCTATTGTTTGTGTATTACTACTGCTATGTACTCCCTCAGGTCCTTTATATAAGGCAGCATCGATTTTTTTTTTATTGTGGAGAATTTAAGATTGAAAATAAGTGTCATGATCATATTATAAGTACTACGAGATCTACTCTCTCCCTCCCCTACATTTTTCTATTTATGGGTCCTAAATAAATGTCCCTCTTCTTAGTTGTTCTACTGCGGTAAAGTTTACATATGAAATGTGAATCTTCTTACATATTTTCATGGGATCATAATTGAATCTTTTTCTTTATATAAGGTTAATTACATATAATCATTTTATGTATTACGATCCATAAATTTAGTATAGTAAAGACCACAAAAGAATTTGTCTTTTTAAGATAAAGAACATGTAGTTTGCAATGTACTTTCTTTGTCCATTTTTTAATTTTCACATTCGATTTTTATGATTTTTACTGCAACATTTTAACTATCAGTATCATTATCTATAAACAGATATATATTATGAAAAAAGTAATACGGGAGTACAACTCAACACTAGCTTAATTTTTTTTTCCGTAATTTGTAGTCAAAGTTAAATAAGTCAATTTGGAAAGATTGAAAAGGAGGGAGTAACCATTCTTGTGTGGGTCATAAGGTCTATGTTAGCCTTCATATAAATCAAATAAATTAAATAACGAGTATTTGTTTATGCGTTAGAACGTGTATGTAGACCTCGTAAACCTTCTCTTATATTCTATTGTGCTTTTCGTTTGCATAAATTTTACTCGCTCTGTCTTAAATTAAGTTGGATGTTTACTATTTATAGAGTCAAATTTCATTCATCTTCTTATATATATCCGTTATTTATTTGATAAAACGATATAGTCATGTCACTTGGTGTTTCGTATAACTTTTGATGCTATTTTTAAATATCTAAAAATTATAATGAACGGGCATCGAAGAGCGAGTTTGAGATCATTATTTCATAGATTTTCATAGATAAGGTAAGGTTCCTATCTCCTCTATATGTCCAGAATGAGATCAGAAAAGCAAAGGAGCGAGAGCTCCGCACAGTGCTAAATTCCAATTCCAAATTTCATTGAGGAAAAGTGGAACATATAGCTTTGATCACATCTTCATGCAAAATTTGAAGAAATATCGTACGGAGTGAACAGCCAAGATTGATTTTACCGCACTCTGTCTGGTTTAAAAAAGCAGCGAAACAGAAATTTTCGTAGAAAAGAGAAATTTGTGGAGGGGTCGCAGAAGAATCGAATTGGGTTCAACTCCCATACCCCGATGTAGCTTTGCCCCAAATTTGTTCGAAGTCTTCGTCATCAATCAAACATCGTAAACCGAAACATGCGAGTAATTAAATACTATGTATTTCAATTTTGACATATCTAGGGAGAAATACCTAAGTAGAACTCCCTCCGTCCCAAAATGTTCTTTCCACTTACCTTTTTGCCCGTCTGGAAATATTCCTTTCATTTTCTTTTTTAGTATACTTTATAAGGATAAATTTAAATAATACCCTTCTATTTTAACAATAATCTACTTTTTATTGTTTTCTTAATAAGAAAAAGGAGATTTAAAAGTTTATAGTATGCGAATTCCTAGAAATTTGATACTTTTTTTACTAGTCTTAATAAACATGTCAAGTCAACATAGGAAGAACATTAAGGGAGTACATGCTATTAGTGGCAAGTGACAACATTATGCTAATTGCTGAGACTCGTGAGGGATAAGTTAAAAGTGCGGCGTCAATACTTGAAATCCAAAAGTTTCAAATTCAATCGGACTAAAAAGAAAATACTTAATTTGAGGTAAGTGAAGTATATTTCAATTTTTTATTTAAAACGCAAATAATTTTATTTTTTAAAACATTTTTTTAAAAATATTTTTGAAAATTAACTTTTCATTATTTCAAACACATGTTTTTCTTCTCTTCATTTCAAAATAAACATTTTTCTTATCTTTATAAAAAAAATTGGAAAAAAAATTAAAGAATAAAAGAGATTGAGCATCTGTGCCCATTTCCAAAACCATAATGGGCAATGGAACTATCTATTCACTATTCGAATGGTTTTCAGTTTAGAGAGACATTGGCGTAAAATATTAAAACTACGAGGGACAACGAAAAAATTTTAAACTATGGAGAATAACGGTGCACATTACCAAACCACAGAGGATATTGGTGCAATAAACTCACGGGAGATGTTTATACTTTTGTCTAAACTAAATTTTGCATTTTTTATATGCACTAAATTTTTATAATTTCGCCATTTCCGAGGAAAAAGTTTGAGGCTACACCTTTTCCATTTTCAAAATAAATTTCGACCGTTTTGGCTTCTTTTATTTCACCGGCCACCTTTTTTGGCTCTGCATTTTCTATTTCAAAAAGGGCGAAAAGGAAGAAAAAAAACTACTCCGTATATTTCAAAGTATAGTTTGAAATATATTTTGGCCTATGGGCCGGAAGGAGCAATTCTTATATGCTCATTATATACTCCGTATAAAAAAACTACGGAGTATATTTCAAAATAAAACTAATAAAACTTCAAAACTGCATCTTTACCATTTGGTGTGATTACTTTGCAAGTTGGGGTCTAATTTGTGAACCACTAATCGTGTCGTTTATCTAATTAAAACACATGAAATGTGCAGTGACATCATTATCATTTCGCAATTTGAGAGAACAGAAGTGACAAGTCAGTCCCCAGCCAAAATGCGCTTTGAAGAAAATGCAAAGATACTACCAAGTACACTTGCATCATTTACCACTGTCGCCGCCAAATTGCGTAGAATTCCCATTCCAGAATGCATTCTTGTCTCCAAACGGACTATCGTCGTCATGTTTCAGGGTGTGTATATTCCTCCCAAAGCGAGATCTGAGGGTGCTGGTACCAGGTGACTGTCGATCTGATGAACTAACACTATAGGGTCTTCCATTTCCTACAAGAACATTTCAGCAAAAGTTTAGGGACACTCCTAACAAGGTAGAATGAACTTCGATGTATCATTTCGATTTGCTTCGAATTCCAAGAAATTCCCTTTTTATTCTCGGGAATGTGGTGCCTGAGATTGGATGTTAGGGTGGCTTGCTTGAGAAGAGGATAGATTTTTAAATAAGGTACAATTTAAGTGGATATATTTTGTAACCAACAAAATCAAAATGAGTGGTGGAAGCCTAAAGATCCAGCAAGAGATATCAAAAGAATGAAGAAACGTTACCATTATTTGACATGCCACTTTGAGAAACATGTGCATCATCTGCTGAGCTAGAACTCTCGCCAAGAGAGGAGAAAGGATTCAAATAAGAGAAGAGCCTCCTAACTATGGAGAAATATCCTTCATTTCTCCCACCTGTGGAACCAGTCTTGTTGGCCAAAGCATTCTGGTCTCGCAATGATAAATTTCCTTTGTGACGAAGTACCACAATCAGCGTTTGTCGACCAAGGAGATTCAACTCGGATAATGTTCTGTCCAGATCTACATACATATAATAAAGGATATATGTGTGGCATTCAAACTCGGGAAATGACCATTTGGGCAATATACTTCCCATGCGTGTGAAACTGTGAATATGGAGTGCACTGCATTCAAGAATGCAGTAGAATCCCACAAAAGCAGAGCCTGGGGAGGGTGTGGGTTCGCAAACCTTACCCCTACTCAAAGGTAGAGAGGTTGTTTCCAACAGACCCCCGGCTCGAGCAACATAGAAAGCACACAAAGCACAAAAACGAAAAGCAAAGAGCGAGTGTTCTGCATTCAATGAGACTAAAAACCTATTTACTTCTGTTTTCATCCAATAACATAACTGGAAATTCATTACCTTGATCACTAAAGACCTTGCGTGGGTAAGGGACAGCGAGATCATAAGAAGAGCTAATTTCTTGGTCCCTATCAATATGATCTTTGACTGTTCTCAAAATGTCTGTTGCTGAAAGCTTCACTTGTAAACTGGAGCCATCTGGCAGTTTAATGTTTAAATGAACATCTGTTGATGTTCTGGAAAAAAGTTGTGCTACAAGAGTTTTCTCAACTTCAGTTGCTTTATCTATTGAAATGGAACACCCATCATCAGAAGTGCCAGTAGTGTCTCCCCCAATATTATATGAAGTTTCTACTTGTGCAATTGCAGGGGCATCAGAGTTGTTACTTTCACCACTCACACGAACAGAACTTGTCTCCTGCCTCACGATAAACTTATGAGTCATCAAATATAATATACTCCATATATTATGTTTATCCACATGCTAGATAGAACAGAATATGATCAGTTAAACTTTGACCCAATGTACAAACTCTCTACCTTAACTTTTGTTGTAGATTCCATAGATGGTCCAGCCTCAAAAGACTCTGCTGCTTCCTTGACCGTGTTATGAGAATCCATACAACGTCTAGCAGTATTAGAGGCCAATTCTGTTTCTGATGGAGTTGGCAATTGCACAGTTACTCTCGAAGAACTCGCCTGCTCGGGTGAAATAGAACTTAGAGTTCCTGGAGGACGTTCAGCCTTGGGAACAGGGGCCAATGTTTCCTGATGCATCATCATATTAATCATTACAATACAGTTTGTACAAAAAAAAACTAAAGATAACCAGAAACACACAAATTAAACGTGTGTAAATCGGGGCTTATAATCATAAGTGATTATCATAAGTGGTGCTCCAAAATATGGCATACAATTAACATCTTCATTTTCAAGTATTTCAACAAAACAAATGTTGGCAACATCCTTGCTTTTCAAACATAGAGTGGCATCCAATCATTTCAAAATTCCTAAGAAATGAAACTACTGTAAAAAAACATAATTGGCATTTTAGAATGATGAATGATATGCTCTCTTGGTTAATGTGACAAAATCATAATTATGAAAGGTGAGAAGAATGTGACCAAAAGGTGAACATAAGTAATAAAAGTAATATATATATATATATATATATATATATATATATATATAGACACACACACATATACATACATACATATATATAGGGGTTGGTTAAGGTGAGAATATCCATACTCTGCGAACATGAGAATGACGCATTTTAAGACTGGCATTTTACACTTGTAGTAGTGCATTTTCGGGAAGTTCAATTTATTAACAAAATTGCCACCGTGATTTTTTCAATTTTTTAGAATTTTTT